TCATTTTTTATATTACCTTTTATAAGTTCTTTTGAGCAGTTGTTTTCGAGTAGCATTTTGATTAGGAGGTTTATTCCTTTACACTGGTCCTCTAGTGTTGTTGTAAGTCTACGTATTCTACCAATAACAAAACTTATCATTGTGTGTAAACTATTGGAATATGACCACAATGCTCAAACTTTTTACTGATTACAATTCTAGGATATTCTTTATTACTGTGAATCATTACAGCATGGATGCATTGGAGTCTTGACTGCGAAAGATGTTCTTAAGCAATAGAAAGCGCTGGTGGTCAAAAATGTTTGTTGAGTAGTGTTAATATCAGTACTAATATTAAAAGTAATAGAAGGAAGAGTAACTGGACAGGGGAGAAGTAACCGGAGGATAAGAAGGAGGACGGAGAGAAGGGGAAGAAGTAAAAGTAATACAAGAGAAAAGAAACAGAGAAAATACAAAAACATTTCAGTGAGTTTTTTCTTCCAAGTAGTTTTTACTCCATAGCACTCCATGTACCCTAAACTTTAACTACTTTAAAGCTTTACACATATCAAAACTAAATTGAAGAATTCACTGTGTAAAGTAAATGAAAGTTAACAATCCTTTACATCCAATACCGATACTAATGCATAATTGATAATAAGAATGAAAATTTTAAAACATTTTCTCGAAGCAACGATCAAACTTAACTAGGGGACATAAAAGGAAATTTACATGTCGACTAGGAATGTAGAAAGAGTAAATCAGGAAGTTTTATTTCCGCCTACTACTTTAGTGATTTTCAAAAGTTGACTTGTAAGAATTACGTTTGTTTTTCAAGCTTGATCCTGGGTTGATTCCAGTTGAAAACTAGCAGGGAGTACTGGACACCTGTTTCACCCTAGTTCGAGAACCATCGTCAGTAGGCACCTACCGCCAGGGTTTGAACCCAGGACTTTCTGCCTACAAGGCAAGCTCGTATATCATTCACCCAGTGGGAACCGATTCAGTGAAAACCCATGAAGGTCCTGAGTTCGAACCCTGGCGGTGGGTGAGTACTGCCGATGATTCCCAAAGAGCTAGGATGAAACAGCCGTTCAACTGTTCTTTGACTGATTTCAATCTGAACTGAATTACAGATTAAAAAATTGAACAGATTTTCCTGTGAATGGTATTCGAAATCTTTTAAACATGAGAATCAATTATTTTGAACTAATCAAATTTTTTCATCGACTCATTAACCTTGTCAACTAGATTGAAGAAAGGACAATCTTCGAGACAATATATACTACTTAATTGAATTTTAGATTTTCCCGTCGATTGATTGGACCGAAGTGCTCAGCCTCAGGTTGGCATGTTGGCTTCTTGTGCAGATGCTTCGACGATGTCTGAACAGGTAATTAGAATTTAATTTGTGGATAGTGACTAGCAGTGGAATCCAGGATATGCATTTCGTCTTGTTTGAGACTCGTCATCTGGATGCACCTGCATTTCCCAGTGAGGGATGATGTTCCCACCGAGGCTCAAACCCAGTGACCACAGTTTCAAACTCCAAAGCGTTATCCACTAGACTGATTGGGCCATGAGAACCACCTCTTGTGCAACGGGTCATATTAACTGAATTGAATTTTAGATTTCCCCGTCAACGAGTTCCAAATAGGCCGAGATGGGCATCCAGGATTCCACTGCTAGTCACCATAAACCAATTAAATTATACTACTATTTGTAATAAACTTGATGTTGTTGCTTTAGCAACGCATCTAGATGCATTACTCAATCAATCAACTGGCTAATAAACTTGTTGGCACCAGCCAAACAAGACACACCTGTGATTCTAAGGAAACTAATATTTCCTTCAGTAGTGGAGATTGTACCACTCTCAATGGTGCATAAAACAGAGACTTTCCAACTTTGCTATATAGGTTGGAACTAATCAAAAAGAAAAAAACCTACCAATATCGTCGAATCGATCACTCAATTATTTAAATTACGTCAGTGAAGCTAGCTGTTAAATGCAGCTGTGCAATTTATATTCGCATATATATGTTACATCTATTACATGTATGCAGTCATCATTTCAGGTAGGCTTCTTTTTCTGCTCTATTTTTAGGTTGTTAATATTTATCATTCAAAACAATAAATAAATGTAAGAACTGCCTAATATATATTAGGCAGTATTTGATATATTAATTATTCTTTTCGATAACAAACATGCTCTAACTCCATATGATAAGCACCAACATCAGTAGCATAAGTGATAGGTAGGCAGGTAGGTAGGTCTCAGTTATATTTTAAAAAAAAAGAAGATCAATAATTTCACTCTGTCAACAAACATGATCATGCATTATTATTATTTTTAAATCACCTGAACTCTTATTTTTATTTTTGTTGTTTTATTATTCGAACAAAACAAGCAAAGAAATGAAATTTTAAATTTGCCTTATAACCATTTAGTACTTATTTTTTGAGAAAAAATACTCAGAAATTAATATATGTGCAAAACTTGGGCATTATGATGGTAAGTAATTTAATATTAGTTTGTTTATTAGATGCATCACACAGTGAGACAGTATTATTTACTGGACGACACACTTCCGAACAAAATTTATTCTTCATAATAATCTCATCAATTATAATCACACGACTTCGAAACTTGAGTTTTATAGTTTTTCTTGTCTTCCCCTATTTACCGTAAGGGTAGTAGGATTTTCCAGATAGCTACCTGGGACAGGTGTTGAACATTCCTATTACATGTATTTGCGGTTGATTCGATAAACAAAGCTTTTGTTATCAATCTCTCCCTCCACCCTGTGACATCAGATTTTAAAACTGTCATCCTATCCCATCATTCTATTGTATGGTTGGGTGTAACTGTATGTTGTGAGTGCTATAGCTGAACTATTCTCTAAATTTCTTATCTTATTCAGGACAACTAATCTAGATTTTTCTCAGTTTTTATGCTGCACTAGTCTGACTGCCCCTGTTCTACTAGTTTGATCTATGTATTTGACCTGACAATCATTCCAGCAGGGTATTATATTAACGAAATTGTTTTGTTTTAAAGGCTCGTGGATTTGAATGCCACTTTCATTCCTACTTTGTTAATAATTCTGCGTAAGGTTTCTGAGTTTTTTTCGTTGTATGGAATTACTACTAATGATTTAGGTTCCTTACTCCTTAATCAGAAAAATACAAATACAAATGACATGGGAAACTCTAAAGGGGGTTATCGTTAGAAGGATTTGAGTGACATAAGCACTACACAGTCTTTTGGGTAGTCAGTAGTTTTCTGGAAAAAAATTCATTTCATAAAACTGAGATTTTCAAGTGAAAACAGTTATAATCTGTGGTGGCTTTCAATTTTTTTTAGATTTATTGACTTCAGAATTTAGAAGTGAAGGCTTCTCTCCTTAAATTATTATCTTCTCCGCTTCAGTGACCAGTGAACCGCTGCTTTAAAGAATACAGTGTCGTGTGATTGATGGTGGCTCGTCACCTGGGGTGTACTTACATCCACATCGACTGATAGTGGTCTCATTGAGACTTGAACTTAGAAGTCAACGTTCCAAACTTTGAGGCGTTTTCCACTGGGCCATTGGAACAAGACAGTGTTAGGACGGATATGCTTGTTTATTGGGATTGGGCAGATTTGATTAGTTTGTTTATTACTCAAACTTCTGAGGGTTTGCTAATATAATATAATACACATTTTGTTTAATAAACGTTACTGTTCCAGTTGTCGTTCTCCCCAGTGTAACTTTTTGTCTCTATCTCAGTGTGGCGGATGAACTCAAGTGATCATTTGGAGGCGCATTCTAGTCAAGTTTGACGAACCTACAACTGACTATCACTCCATCATAACAGAAAGTCACCCGTTTAGCAAGGAAATATCAGTTAATACTTGTTAACCATATTTGAATTTCCCGTTTGTTCATTATGTTCGACAGAAATGTTCTGTGTCTGTTAACATATGTCAACTCCTAGTAGCGACACTTCGATTGATTGTACTGATTGTTGCCCGTTGGACAACAGCAGGTTATCATGGCCCAGAAGCATAATGGGGATAACGCTTTGGCCTATTTAAACCATAGGTTCTGGGCTCGAGTTCCAGAGGAGACAATAACTCTCATTGGGAATGTAGTTGCATCCAGACGATGGGTCTCAGACAAGAAGAATTTTACATACTGGATTCAATTGCTAGCCAACGTCACATCAATCTTCAAACAAGTATCTGGATATCACTTACATCAACTATTAGTGCTTGCTAACCAAATCAAAACATTCTGAACGCCGGATTTCCATTTTGCTCGTTTCAGACCGTATACTGAGAATTTGACTAAGCGTATTATCCATTTAACCCACACAACTGGCTAATCAGCACTAAGGTGGTTTGAAATGATTTAGCTCTCTGAGCTGAGGCAAACTGACTTCAAACGAGTGAAACTGATTTGTCAACCGTTCGGTGTATCGACGACGTTGATCCGACTGTCATGCACCGCCAGCTGGTGTAGTCTGCATCCAGCTGATCACACCAATCAAAACGTAGTACATAAGAGTATGTACTTACTTTCTTGAGAACCATCTATGATTTCACACAAATCGCATACTTTGATTTGAAATTGTGAAATTTAGCTCCACTTTTATAAATCAAAACCCTACAAACTATAATATAAGTAAAAACTACCTTTTACCTCTTAGAAAATTATGAAAAGAACAAATAGTGAAATTGGATGGGGGGGGTTCATCATGAGCTAACACCAGTTGGGGAACCACTGGAAAACCAAACCGGAAGTATTGGACAGCTGTTTCGTCCTAGAATCCCAAACTAGGACGAAACAATTGTCCAGTACTCCCAGGTGATTTCCAGTGGTTCTCTGACTGATATCAGCTCATGATGAAATCCTCCGACCAATCAATCAAACAAAATCCCTACAAAACCAATACATGAAGTAAAGAAATGTTAAATACATTTTTTTGAAAAAAACGAAAATTAACGCTGAAATTGTATCATAAATTGTACTTACAAACTGGTTCTTTCCTGGGATACGTTCTTTGATGGTATGAACTGATACTATGAGTTTGTTTTGTGTAATACATTTTGTATACATCAGGAAGGCATGAAATGACAGTCGCAAATAGTAAAGAGAGAGATGTTTAGACGAAAAGAAAAACGAAAAAGAAGAAATTAGTTTGAAGTAAATAACAGATATTTATTTATATAGGTAACATCATATTGTCATCATTATCATTTTGAGTATGTTTCATTTACACACGTGCAGTAAAAATAGTATATATGAGTGAAGCTGGTACCAACACACACACCCTCCCTATCTCTCACATACACAGAAATACAAATGGTCCATATTTGCTTAATAGCAAAAAGAATAGGGATTATTCCGTTATCCTCATATATACACCTAGGCTGACACGTGATTTATTATTTTTTGTCAGTGAGTTTCTCTGGATCACTTGCACACACTACACATCCATCTGACCATAAATACACACACATACACATACATACATACATACATACATGCAGTCATTACCAGTTTAAAAAAATCTAATTAGATAATTATATAATCACTTGAGAAATCAAGTGATAATATCTACAGGCCGTGAATAGTTATCAGAAGAAGAATCAGCAAACCTCAAGGTCTTTATTATTGATTATTTCTTATCAGTAATTATTACTTTTACTCAACTAATATGAATGTAACTCCTTAAAGGTGAATATATCACTGTTTTATATCATGGTGCTAACATTTGTTGGCGTGACTGTCTGAAGTAGCATTGGTTTGGAAAACTGTTAGTAATTCAATGAATGATGTGCGTTGGTAAGCACATTATTTATATTCCAGTTGATGAAGGATATTCGTATATTATGATACTTAAGCTATCTAAGTGATATCACTTCTGTGCTTGAAAACATTTATTTCCCGATACGAATTTAAAACAAGCAATAAAGGTTAATAAAGCAGGATTTAATGAATTCATCGAATTCCGGTAGAACTCGTCAGATGAATACTCTACATACACGGATAAATATACTCTTGAAATTGCATTGGGAGATATAAGACTGATAAGTAAACAAAATACATTGAATTAGTCATGCAGAAATGCAGGTGTGAATGTTTTCCAGGTCATGTTCAAATAGATAAGGCGAGAGAGAGTATGAGAGATCAAAATTAAGATAAATTGCATTACGCTTCAATTACATCACTTAGATAAGCAATTAGTCATCACAGAATATAACAAGAATTGCAAACAGAGTAATATCGATAGTAATAGTTATAATAACAATAGTAATAAAAGTATTGAAGTGAGTTAAGATAATCCTACTGATAAAGGATAGTTTTAAATGAATCAAGAATAATAATAATAAGAGGTTGAATAATAAGTAAAACGTATAACCATGGTAGATTCAGAGTCACGACCATCTCCTTTTGTACACAGAGACCTGGTTTATAAACTCGAATTGCACAAGCCTCTGCAAATGCAAGCATCTTCCTGTTTTTTTGTCTGCTGAAAATAATGAATGACTTGACCGCGTCCATATCGTGTCCATAGTCCACAAGATGTTTTGTTATTGAGGATTTTGGCGCTTTGCACTCAGCAGCTGTTTTCAACCATTTTGGCAAATGCTCCATCATGCGAGTAGATACAATTGCTTTTCTGTACGATCTATGTATTTGCTTCCTCAAACACACTCAAATTGATATACTCAGTTTGAAGTGTCCAGGATTGGTGACTGGTCTTTCCCAGATTGTTGAAGCACTCTCTTAATGGTGGTAAGGATAACACGTTTTGAAGCATAATAAGTTCTCTTGATGGCTTTGCCGAGTCTTCGTTCGACTACTTCCTTTACATCATCTCCTTTTAACGGTAAACTGATATAGACAAGTTTCTTCGGAACTGCTGAATTCATTAAATCTTGTTTTATTAACCTTTATTGCTTGTTTTAACTTCTGTGCTTATTAGCATTTATCATTTACAGGTATCTGTTTCCATGAGAACGTATGTAACTTTTTTATGATTTAAAGTTCACTCAGCCATTATTGAAATGGAAGAGTGTATCAATAAGTGTCTTATTGTGTCCATTAGGTTAGATTGCTCCATTTTATGATATGAGATACTAGAATTCAAATTACATAAGAATTATTGATATAAAGTGTTGGAGAAGTGTTGATAGCTGTGACAGCTTCTCATAAGGACTGATTTTGATTGACAAAATGTAAACTGGAGTTTTATATTTCACTGTCTCTTTTGTATGTTAGATTCCAGAAGAGGCAATGAGGGCACGGCTTCAAACGCAAAAAGAGAGACAGAGGTGATGGAAACACCTAACTAACAATAGAAACAATCGACCGCCATCAACGGGAGGAATCTATTGAAAGTCATTACTACGTAGCATTGCTCCAACTACTGACAGAAGAATATAAGGATTAAACAGCCAACCAATATCAGAAAATTACAACACACCTCCATTACTCTGGAATCAGTGGGAAAATCCACTGCACCACTATATGCAACAAGATGCAGATTTTAAACACCAATTTCAAGTCAGTACTTCTCTACGGTTCACAGACTTTGCGCGTGTATCAGGAAAGGCATTTTCAATGGGCTACTGCAGACTTTCATCATCAACTGCCTTCGCTCCATCCTGAAGACCAAGTGACTATATTCAACCAACCAAGAACCTATGGCTCAATAAAAATGAACACTGAAATGAGGATGGATTTCACACATGCATTGAAGACCTCTGATTAACATCGGTCTCTAGGCCATAGAGTAGGTGGAATAACAATTGGAAATGGCGAGTTGAAAGTCCAAGGATGACATGGGGAAAATTGTGTGCGGAGAAGATGAGAGCATATGCGGCTGGGGGGCGACAGCGGAGTCAATGAAAGATGACTGCAGAGAATAGGATGAGGTGTGGATGTGCTGTTGAATCCCGATGTTCCACTTGGAGCTCGAGTGAATAATAACAATATCTTATGGATATTTCAAACTGTCTCAAATCTAACCAACAACATACCCCTCTCCTTTTAATTCTAAACGATAAGGACTGACTAAGGAACACCTAGTCGGGAGCTAGTGTTATAATAAACAAACAGTAAATTATCGTTTGTTCACAAATCAGCTAGCTGGTCAATACCCATGGCGATTCCAGTGTAATGTAATGTGTACCTGGATAGCAGGTAGCTGGTTGTCACAGCTCAGCTGGTAAATCGTTGAATTAGTAATTCCTAGTCAGGTGGTTCAAACTGCAATGTCACCGTCAATTACCAACCCTATCACAATAGTAACAATCTGCTAACTGAAGGTTTACTCAGATGGTCTGATCATCAATCCTCAAATGTGATAAGTCTGAATGCATATCTTCGAAATGATAATAAGACCAGTCAACATCTGTCTGTGGCAGATAGAATCATAGCTGAATATTAATCCTAACCCAAATTTACTTTCCATATAAGTGAACTTTATAATGCCAACAATAACTGTCGCTTACAATAGTACTTTAAGTTGATAGTGTCAATGTTCGGCATTCGATCTTAGTGTCAAGATCAAAAAGCGTCATCATAATTGATATGACAGATGTCGTATTATCTGGTTCAACAGACAATTAAAATTTTTTTGGGCAATGATAAATAGAACATTCCTTTTATTTCTCTCTGTTTGCCCACACAACGTCTAATATTTCCGCCCCCCCCCTCGCCCTTGCTAATGACTTCTTGAGCTACAGGATTTTTCATCATGAGCTGACATTGGTTAGAGAAACATTGGAAAACCTGCAGGGAGTACTGCCGGACAGCTGTCTCGTTAGCCTAGTTTGGGACTCTTCAGTAGTACGCAACCACCGGGATTCTTAAGCTATTGAAAATATGAATACAAAGAACTGAGTGGTATTTAGAAGTTACATTTACTCTGTAACCTAATGATGACATTTAATTGATTAGTAAATTTCTATGTAATTTGTAGATACAGAGTACGTCACCTTCCAGCTACTTGTGTATAGTTGTTAATCTACTTACTATCTTGTTGGCTTTAGTTAATCACTGAATTATTATTTCTTCCAGAAAATAACGTTTATCTTTGATCGATAAACTGAGCTAGATTATGATGGGTTCATTTTTAACATTTGCAATTTTTTTCCCGTCACAACTAAAGATTACAGACAAGTTACATGAAATCCAGGGTGGACAACTTACTGATTTTCGACTTACTAACAGAAAAGATTATAAATAATTCGGTTTACCAATTAAATGACTTTGTATCTAACATAGACAAAATATGAATTCATTTTAAAAGCATATCCTGTTTGTGTTATGTAGGCGAATTTCATTTTTTTCCCCTCATTTGCTACAGAAACCTTTCGGCATTCATTTAATCCTACTGTCTCTCAGTTATAATGGTCATAACATTTGTAACATCAACATAATTTGAAGGATACACTGTGGTAATTTAACTCTGAGTGTAACTGGGGACGCATATAACGGAGAAATAATCAGCATTCCCTTGAGTTCTGAGTGGAACATAGGACTACAGCAACTCATCGCCATTTCACTTTGTTCTCTGTGGTGTTTTTAGCTAGCTACGCGATTCCGCATAAGCTTTCCTTCCCTTCTGACATGGCCACCTCTGTGTTACACTGCGACTAAGACCCAACTCTCCGTTTCCCGTCCGGGCTCACTTTAGGACCTGACTGGTTTATGACGTAATCCAACGGTCTTCTCAGAGTATGTCACATACATCTTCATTTCTCTGTATATACATGTTAGGCAACGGGTTCTTAGTTCATTAGGTTCCAGAGTTCCTTGTTCCTTATCCTTTCTCTTCAGCCATTTGATCTTCAGTATGGAGCGAATGCAGCTGCTGATGAAAGTCCGCCTAAGCCTGTTGGAAATATCTTTCGTGATGCACGCGCCAAGTCTGTTTTTTGTATAATGAGAGTGATAACTGACGGTGACACTGAAATCTGCATAGCAATGCAGTTTGAACCAGCTGACTAGTAATTACTAATTCAACGATTTACCAGCTGAGCTGTGACAACCAGCTACCTGCTATCCAGGTACACATTACATTACACTGGAATCGCCATGGGTATTGACCAGCTAGCTGATTTGTGAACAAACGATAATTTACTGTTTGTTTATTATAACACTAGCTCCCCGACTAGGTGTTCCTTAGTCAGTCCTTATCGTTTAGAATTAAAAGGAGAGGAGTAGTTGTTGTTGGTTAGATTTGAGACAGTTTGAAATATCCATAAGATATTGTTATTATTCACTCGAGCTCCAAGTGGAACATCGGGATTCAACAGCACATCCACACCTCATCCTATTCTCTGCAGTCATCTTTCATTGACTCCGCTGTCCCTCCCCCCTCCGCATATGCTCCCATCTTCTCCGCACACAATTTTCCCCATGTCATCCTTGGACTTTCAACTCGCCATTTCCAATTGTTATTCCACCTACTCTATGGCCTAGAGACCGATGTTAATCAGAGGTCTTCAATGCATGTGTGAAATCCATCCTCATTTCAGTGTTCATTTTTATTGAGCCATAGGTTCTTGGTTGGTTGAATATAGTCACTTGGTCTTCAGGATGGAGCGAAGGCAGTTGATGATGAAAGTCTGCAGTAGCCATTGAAAATGCCTTTCCTGATACACGCGCAAAGTCTGTGAACCGTAGAGAAGTACTGACTTGAAATTGGTGTTTAAAATCTGCATCTTGTTGCATATAGTGGGTGCAGTGGATTTTCCCACTGATTCCAGAGTAATGGAGGTTGTTGTGATTTTCTGATATTGTTTGGCTTTGTATTTCTTATCGGTGCCTTCTTTTGCAGTTGAAAGGATGCTCCCAGAGAAGTTTAAGAGGTAATTACCCTTTAGACTATTCCTTGAGCTGGTTACTGATGCTAACCACTGTCTTTCAGGTGTACTCATCAATTCCATCTTCTCTATGTTTAACTGGATTAATGTCTTCGTTGTTTCTTCTCTCAGCTTGATTTTCTTATGTAAATATGTCGATGCGTCGGTCGTATAGGGTTAGGACGCTCGCCAGCCATGCACATGGTCCGGGGTCCGGTCCCCAGACGACGCACTCCTTTACCTCGCTAAGCCAGAAATAATCCTGGTAAAGAGGAAAGGTTGGGCATTAGGCTAGCAACCTCATCCTATAAAATAAACACTGCTGCAGAAACATCAGGCCACTAGCTTGAAGTCCTATATTCCACTGGGGAACGTGAAGGAAATATATATATATATATATATATATATGTCGATATATTTGACACTAGACACAAATCATTCGTGAAATACACGTCATTTAGAGTCTTCTTTGAGTCAGAAGTGTACCTATCTTCTCGCACTCCATGGTCTGTGGCATGATCCAGTTCCCCTTAATCAAGAATATCATCTGTGATATGTGACATCATTGTCATACTCCTTATGGTGGCAAAGTGTTATTGATATAGCGAGTGATGCTTGACTGATAAAATGAAAGCCCGGGTTTTGAGAGTTGTTAGGGTGATGCGCTTCTCGCGAGAAGTGTAATTATTGCTTTTGTCCATTTCTATTAAATCTCTAATTTATTATGTGTAAAAGTCGATAAATTAGTCTACCAGCAGTTAGTCTGTAATCAGACGATTATTTGTATATACCGTATAACTAGAGAATGACGCTTAAGTTCATCTTTAAAAAAAAAGATATACACATTCTTATCATAAACTGATGTCATCATAAACTAGACCAACTAAAGTAAAAAGAAAAAGGCAGCATAACTATGATTAATTAAATTCAATATATACAGTATCAAAATGAAATCCATTTACATGACACAGATGTATTAAATTAGACTGCATCATCAGTAATGCTTCACCTACCTAGCTGGTGTACTGTGCTGCTGTTGTTGTTGTTGTTGTGATTGATAAGACCGGTGAAATGAAGAACTTGTACTTAAAAATTGATGTGATTCTGTATTTGGTGATCGTCTTGGCACTGAATGACTTGGTGAAAGAAGATTTCTAGAATCGCATAGATTTTCACGTTGATGACTCTCGTCGACTAAACTCATTGCACGTCTAAGATTTGCTAACTCTTGTCTAGCCAACTGTAAATCAGATTCAAGTTTCTTTTCACGTTTATACGACTCTTGATTATCTAATCGTACTGAGACTGCAGAGTGTGTCTTTAAAATAAAATAAAGAAAGTCAAATACAGCATAGAACAGAAATAGAAAGATCAATAGACTTGAATTAATACTCAAATTGAACAGGATGATAATAACAAAAAATATCAGAAGTCTACGGTAAACACAAAACATTATTTAAATACTTTTCTCTCTAGTGGTATTTATCTCATTAAGTCCAAAAGTGGAAATCTGTGAACCAGAAACTGTGCTACTTACAATTCAGAAAAGGACTACTCACTACGTGTTAACAAGAAGCCACTTTATATACGACTAGAATTCAAGAGTGATATACGAAGTGAGATAATTACGAGGAAATCAAGAAAATCAGTTCAAAGAACTTCTAATGCTGGCGAACTACACGTATTATTCTTAACACAGCCGATGGTGCCACCTCGATTGAAAGATGAAGTACCTAAACTAGCCACTTGTGGAGCGAGCTATATAGGCCGTTGCTCCAGGAACTTGATTTTTCGTGCTCACTCGAGAACATCTTTAAGTATGGCTAAGTAAAGGTGTAGTAAAACCCATTAACAGTTCGATATTGAACCATCTGGTGCAAACCGGCCACAAAGCCAGCGTGGAAGAATCCTTCTCTATAATTTATCGGGTGCCTAATAAATTGCCAAAATCATCGAAGTACCGCATGCTCCAAACAACAGAGGCTATTCCAATTCGCCTCAAAAAACAACCAGTGCTCTGCGTTCAAAAGAAGCAAGTCCAGCCCCTACTACTGCTCTGGCCAGCCTACAGTAGAGACTATAAATTCATGAATTTGTAATATTATCTTTTCTAATTCAACTGACATTCAGCTGATTGTTATCTTGATGCTATTGAGCTGTAATCTATCAACGTTGTTGATTCGATGTTATTTAAACAGCAACATTAAGGTTGTTCATAACACCAATTCATTCATTCACTATAATTTATATATAACTGTATAGCCTGATGACGAAGGGGTTATCGAAAAGAGTACTCTTTGTTCAGTATCCATTCTTTTGAAAATTCAGAAATTAACAATTAGTTTTGCAGACACTTCAATGATGAACTGCCATCAAAAGCAAAAACAAAAACTTATCATGAATAAGGTGAACCTAAAAGAATGCCTACATGTTTAAGTATCATGTTCTACTCGTCACTTAATACATGAAAGCGTATTATTTTATCCAGTGTTTGGAAGTATTAATTCACTTCTTGATAATTTGCTGTCTGAGTAACTATAATACAATTCATTATTTGTCAATATGCTATCCACATCATTCTGGAGAGAATAAAGGATGCAGTGGATACAAAATTTCGTCCGGAACAAGCTGGATAATCAAATAGCAACTCTACGCATCATCATCGAACAAAGCATAGAATGTCAGTCAGCCTCACTCTACCTCAACCACATCGACTTCGAAAAATCCTTCGACAGACAACGTTAACTGAGAACTTATTTGGAAACTACTTCAACAGTACAGTGCACCTCAAGTCTTGTTCAACCTCATTCAATAGCTCTATGACAGTGTCCCATGTCAAGTGATCCACAATGGGACAGTCAGTGAGGCGTTCGAAGTGAATACAGGAGTAATATAAGGCTTGCTGCCTATTATCACCGATGATATTCTTAATTCTGGCGGATTGGATTATGCATCAGACTGCTGGGGGTGAGGAGTCAGGAATACACTGGACGACTGATAAGAAGACTGGAAGATCTGGATTTCTCAGATGATATATCTCTAATGTCACACGAACTCGAAGACTTGCAGGCAGGCGAAAACCAACAAACTGGCTGAAGAGACTGGCAGCGAAAACAGGACTGTAGGTGAACACAGAGAAAACAGAGGTCATGAAGACAGCCAACCAACAGCAACAATAACCAGCATCAATCACCACCAACAGGAGAGATTTAACAGAGGTTGCCTCCTCCGCTTATCTAGGGAAGCACTGTTTCAACGACTGGCGGAACGGATGAACATGTCAAAGCCAGTCAGAATCAGGAAGGCAAGATACGCCTTCATCAACCTGAAACCCGTTTGGAAGTCTTCTACACTCAGAATATGGAGTAAGATTCGGATTTTCAACAGCAATGTGAAGTTGGTCCTTCTATACGGGTCAGAAACTTGGCCAGTGTGTCACGAAAAGCACTTCCAAGAGGTTTCAAACTTTTATCAACAGTTGTCTTCGCTGGCTCTACACTGAAGATCAAATAGCTAGAAAGAATAGGTAACAAGAATTTATGGGAACAAACTAACCAAGAGCCGATCGCTCAATAAATATGTAGGGGCATTGTTGGAGGAGGCCGCCGCGTGACATTGAATGCCAAGCCCTCTAGTAGGATCCAAATGGGACGCGATAAGTGGGTCGTCAGTGCAAGGGTGACATGGAGGAGATCGTGTGAGGAAGAAATGAGAGAATTCGGTCAATCGTGAACCCAGTTGAAGAGGACGGCAGGAAACAGAACAAAGTGGAGATGTGTTGTAGAAGCGCTATGTTCCACTCGGAACTCAAGGGAACAATAATAATAATTTGTCAGTAAAAATGTATGATTTGGAAGACCGTTGTATTGTCACCTAAAAGTCACAGGGTTATTCTATAAGATCATCGATCACTGGACAACGTTTCGGCCTCAGTTGTATCAACATTATTGTAAATGTTTGTATTTAAACTTGTATTACAGAGCGTTTTGTTAGCGAATGCTTTTAAATTCAGTCTACCTATAGCCTATCTTAGTAATAGTGCAAAAAGTTATAGGAATTTAATTCTTTTGCTATATGACCGGTAGGTAGGACGAAATACAAGTTATGACTAAAATCTGGAATTTAAGGAAATCGAGAAAAAACCATAATATCTTGGTTCCATACTTTTATATTAGAACGTTTCTAAAAATAAAATTTCTCTAAAAAATTAGTTTTATTTTTGCATGCCATTTTATGCTACTTGTGAGTAGTAGCAGTGATCAATGATCAGTTTAGAATTACGAAAACATTCGTCCTGCCTTTTGGTCTTTGCAAAACATTTAGTTGGTGTGCATTCAAATAAGTAAATCGCTTCTCTGATCATAAAAGATATTATTTTTTGGCGCTAGACAGCACCTCATTATATTAGTACATTTCGGTAGCTGGCATTAAATCAAAGTTTAGTTTTGGAGTTTGGAAACGTTCGTGTTTCATTCGGGAACAGTATCACCCACTGGGAGATGCTGGTATATTCAGTTAAAGAGTCCGAAATAGAGACAAAGGGCATCGTGAATTCCACTATTAGTCACTGTCAACCAAAAGTAACATCACGTTAATCTTCAGACACCGTTGACATATCACCAGAGACCGAGGATTTCTCTCCAAAATGCAAATTTTCCTAGAAAATAACGTCTTATTATCCTTATCCAGCATATATATGACCTGCCCGTAGTCGCATAATGCACCCTGCACATAAAATAACCAATCAAATCATTTCTCAACAGATAAAACTACAGTAGAGGTATAAGGATTAAAACCTCCCCCCTTTCAGTAAACCTTAGGATTTACAAAAACTTTGAATTTTGGTTAAACAAAACTTCTTATTTCAATAAAAAAAGTTTTAATGCTGTCAGGAAATATAGATTGTGAACACTTAGTGTATGGGGATGTAGAAAAGATTATCGATAAAATGTCTCTGTAGGTTTGTTATCGCTGCCACTAATGGAGAAGAAGGTACATTGTTAAACATGAAATTTTCTTTTTATTATCCTCTATCTTTAGAAACTCGTCTTAAGACAAGTTATTTATTTTATGACTTTACTCGTATTGTCCTTCTGTATTCTGAAAGTATAAACCTCCCAATGATGGGTCCTTAAATTTCGCAGTCCATTCTGTGGAATTATAAACATTCTACAATGCAAAAGGCACCATATGGGCTGAATTATATTGCGATATTATGAAGTGTGTCATCAGTAGTCTCTCTATTAAAGTCGAAATAAGTAATCCATACCTAATTATTGTAATGCAGAAGAAATTATCTGAGTATAAAAGCGAATGAAAAGTATCAAGTGACTACATTACAACATTTACAACAATCATATCAAAGAATATAGTCGAAGAGCTGTTTGCAGCATAATGACAATTTGTGTTGCTCAAGTTGGAATTCTTTTAGTTTCCTCAATTGCGTAAGGATGAATTAAAGATTTTTACCTGGGACTGTTCGGAGTATACCTAAGACCACTTAATGGATGTATAGGATAAAGGACTTGTCAACAGGTGACAACTGTAGCAATATCGTCGACACATGGACAAAATATGTCAGTAGGTAAATTAATGCCTAGGCATGAAATCAGTCGAAATGTAGAGGTAAGTTAAAAACAAAGCCGTTTACTTTGTAGATGGTGACTAGCAATGGAATGCAGGATGCTCATTTCGTCCTATTTGGGACCCGTCATCAACTGAGTGTACCTGCACCACCCAGTGAGTCAGTGATGATGTTCCACCGAGGATCGAACCGAGTGCCCATACTTTTCAACGCCAAAGCGTAATCCACTAGACCACTTGGGCCACGGGAGCCACCTCTTGTGCAATGGGTCATGTTAATTTAATTGAATTTTAGATATTGCCGTCGATTGATTGGACCGAAGTGCTCGGTCTCAGGTTGATACGTCGTCTTCTTGTGCAGATGCTTTGACGATATCTGGGAATTTATTCAGAATGGTGGATGATGGCTCAAGTGGTCTAGTGGATAACGCTTTGGCGTTTGAAAATAAGGCAAAGGGTTCGAGCTTCAGTGGGAACACAATCACTCACTGAGGAATGCAGGTACATCCACCTGATGACGAGCTCTAAATAGGACGAAATGCGCATCCTGGATTCCACTGCTAGTCACCACACACCAATTAAATTCTAATTAAATCTGCACAAGAAGCCGACATGTCAACCTGAGACCGAGCACTTCTGTCTAATCAATAGACGGGAAAATCTCAAATTCAATTAATGCCGTTTACTATTTACTTGCATAATAGGATATTGAATTTTATCTATTCACCCTCCACCCATTCAGATACCTGGCATCACTGTTCTCAGTTACAATGTCATTTAAATAGAAAAGTCCAATATGGAAGAGAGAGCTTTAGCATTTTTATAGATAATTAATTTTTAATTTTTGATTACAGCTTAATTCCACACTGTATTTTTGGTACAAGTATGGAATTTTCAGCATGGATATTGGTAGCCCAAATTTCGCAGGCCGACTACAGATATCAGGTGTGCGTCGGCCGGGGATCGAACCCCGGACCATGTGCATTGTCGGCGAGCGTCCTAACCACTATGCCACCGACGCATATTTCGTAACATATTCCTGTCGGTACGTAACTGCAAACTATCAAGTTGCCTAATTATGATAAGTCTCCTAAATTACTTGGATCTCTTTGATGCTGTTAAGCAACTACTTGATGCCAAGCCGTTTACTAATTCGAACTTATCAGTGTGACTGCGTAAAAATCAGTTTTATAGGGAATTTTTAAGTCCCACAATTCTCATTCACACGGATACTTACATCTGCAGTTCCACATTCTGGATCAATGGTCAAATGAATTTGATTGAATTTCCTAGGGGCAACTGGTGGACGTTGTTTAAGTGTTGTTGTAAATACTGTTTGATGATGTCGAGGAGAATTGGTCAACGATGCTGCATATCTACTCGTACTTGTATTTTTCCCAATATTATCAATTCTATCTGAATATAAAGTTGAATGTTTATGATAATAATTAGAGTGTAAAGAATCATTGAAATTATGTGCATCTGTACTGTAGCCAGTAGCAGAAGCTGATCGACTCGGTGTATATCGATTTTCTGGATAGACTTCATCATGGAATAATTGTTTTCTTTGTGTTTGTGATGAATGGTATGGTTTAGAGTTGTAATGCGTAGTGGAAGGCGGTGGCAGACCAGCAGCCATATTCATACTTGTTAGACGTAATTCTTCTAACAGACGGTCAAGTTCTTGTGTTCCAGCCATAATGTTGAGACGTCGTGCTGCTTCAACTAGATCTTCTGTTGGATAGTAGGTTTTGACAATGGCTTCTAGAGAATACAAACAAAAATAGTATTTTTATTAATTCTTCAAGAAGGAATTTATCCGATTCACTTGGAAAAATGAAGATTTGTATTAGTGAATAGCGTAGACAAAAAGGAATGCAGATACTGGATATATTCATAAAGCCATGGACAAAATCAAAACATTCAAGTAGAAGATAATGAAATAATGGTGTCCTTTGATGTCAGCATTATATACTTCAATTAGTCCAAAACTAGCAACAGAAACTATGCAACAATTACTCTATAGTGATGAAAACATAAAAACGCAATGTTCAACTTGAATAGAACTCATAAAATTATGCCTTACAATATACTTCCAATTCGATACTCAAATATATGAACAGATAGGAGGAACACCAGTGGGATTATCACCCATATCAGGATTAATAGCTGAAGCCGTTATGCTCTCTTATAATTAAACCGAAAATCTGGGTACGTTACGTTGATGATACATTTGTAATAATTAAGAGAAATGATTTAGAATATACCCATAAATTAATAAATAACATATATGAAGACATCAAATTCACATGAGAAGAAGAATTAGACAACAAAATCACATTTTTAGATGCCTTAATCAGGAGAACCAACACAGGAAATTTAGAAACACAAGTATATAGAAAATCAACACACACAGATGAAATACTCAACTATACTAGCAATGATCCAGTTGCTCACAAAAGAAACTGTGTGCAGACATTTTTGAAAAGAATTCACACTGTAGCACTCCAGAGTTGAAAAGAATAGAAGAAAAATACCTACAAACGGTCTTCAAAAAGAATGATTATCCACAAAATTTCATCAAAATGTGTTTAAAATCGAATCATGACACCAACAAGGAACCATCATCGAAGACCACAAGAGAACTCATCCTACCACATATAAAAATATTTCTGAAATAACAGCTAGAATGCTGAAACCGTTTGATATAGATATAGCACACAAGCCAGTCAAATCGCTTAATTCGATATTATGCGAAACGAAAGATCCAACAGGAAAAGGTGACAAAATTAATACCATTTACAAAATAAATTGCATGAACTGTGACAGGTATTACATTGGCCAGAATGGGTATCCCCTTCGAGTCAGAATCCAGTAACACAAATCAGCCATGTAACGACACGACATGTATATTCTTTCATATCAATGCATGTAGATAATTATGGACACCACTTTGATGATTGGGATAATGTCGAAATCTTAGACAGAGGAAATACCGAAACTGCAGTCAGGAAATTCCTAGAAGCCTGGTACTCAGACAAATATGCAATTAACAAACACGTTAATATGACGAAATATACCAACTAATAAAAAGTGAATCAGGTGACCAGAAAGTTTAAAATCCAAGTCAATAGAAAATGGTCAATACACATGTAAAGATGGTTACCGTTATACGCAATTATATCACTCATGGAGAAATTTAAATCCCTTCACTTTATGCTAAATATTGCACTGAAGATGTTGTCCAGAATTGGGACGACGAAAGCTCCGCAACTAAACCAACCAGCTCATAGAACACTATTAATTGCATGCTACTGACTGAGATGATTAGGTGATTGTCACTGACATCAACAGGTAGTACTTCTAGGCCAGATCGAAGTAATCTAAACAACGAAGAGCCGTTTAGTTCGTTTCTGACTAAGCCCAATAGCGGTACACCCAGTATTACTCAGCTCAGAGAGAGAAATCAGTTCAAACCATCTGATATCTGGCTAGCTAAACATAATTCATTATGTGACAGTCATTTCTCTGGTGTCTTCTACGAAATAATGGAGATGTCTTAGGTGAGTTTAAAATTGTTCGTTTATTGACTGCTGACAACAGCAGTGCTGAAGCAGTATATGGTTAGTTTGTGCGAAATTGCAAATAAGTTCCTTGAATTCAGTTATTTTTCCTGTTTATTAAGAATAACTTGTCTGAAAGCACAGACTATCAACAAAGATCAGCGCTGTACGAAACCATAAGCAGAACAACAATTTATCGGATATCTAATTCATTATAGTGAGAGAATTTAAACCTGACATCCTGATGGGTTAAAATCAACAATATTCAGTCAATTTATGGTAATTCACAACCGATGGAGAAATTAATAGCATCCTTTGAGTAGTGTGGCTCTTACTGACCTAGGAATTCAGCTTGCAGCTAGTGCATCGACGAGGTTAGAAGTCCATTCCACCTATTGAAATCTGAGCAACACTAGGTAGTAGTATTATCACTTTTAAAGAGATAAGCGTGGCCATTTAACGAACGTAAAGTCATTCTTAAATGATTTGGTCATTTCCCTGAAGATATTGTGAAGTTTACATCTTAGTAAGTAAATAACTACTGATAAAACCGATGCATTCACTAAAACATTGTTGACAATCGATTCATAGTGTCTAGAAGCACCTTATCTGCACAATTCGTTTACAAATGGATATTCTAGAGACATTATTTTCATGTTTGCATTGAAATGATATTTGAGATTTTAGCTTACTCCCTGTAAAATTAGTTACTGCTTGAACAAGAATGCACCCACTCTGCTTGATTACGTAATTCGATTATTCTACATTCCGTTAACGTAAGCTGATAAGAGAGCCGGTTAATATGAATTTTTGAAAACAGGTCATATGAGGCTCCTTTGGGAACTTCGTCTACAAGACATATAAACAATCCCCAAGGGAAGACAGCAAAGAACGTAGGAACTAGAAGAACTCTGGAAAGTTTCAGACTAAGAGGAGATAGTTTTCTGCTTCTCCTTGGTTTGTAATGATTCTCTAACTGAAACTAATTCATGATCGGACTTGGAATCAATCCAATCTCTTCAATTTATAAGCCTTTAAGAAGATGATGATAGTAGTTAGAAGCCTAGTGTTTCAGTGAATCGTCAGTCAAAAGACACATCGACGTAGACAAAGTTTACCGATCGATAAGAAGAAAATCTCACAGACAAAGGGTCAAAGTTCAGGTCAAGGAAACAATCAACACCAATACAAATACAAGTAGGGTGTGGAAACACACAAAAACAAACAACCAATCTCGTTCCAGATCACCAGGAGAAATGACTGATAAACTCATGGAGAAATCTAAAAGCTCACTTCAACAAACTGAAGTATGCGTTGAAGATGTTGCCTAGTGGTGGGGTAATGAAAGCTTCGCAAATAAACTATCCAGCTCAGAGAACATAACTACATCAAAATTGTACGCCATTTTAATCACAGCTCTTTAAGGACACGTCTTTCAAATATGTACAGAACCTAGCCTCAGTTGTTCAACAACCATAGAACCAAGAAACAGCTTCAGTCTGACGCTGAACTCATTGTTTTTTTAAGTGATCATCATTCCTAAATGATGGACTCTATAGGTTTAGGAAATTAATGCAAAAACCAATAACTATCTATTACTTGGGCAAACGAATCATGAATTTTGTGTTCCCTGATTTACGACATTTCACGTTTGTTTCATATATCACCATTACTCCGATCAAATAGTTCGGGGATGCTTTCTGTTAAGTCACTTTGTTTCACTGTCTAAACGAAAGCATGAGTCACAGTAAAAATTTGTTTGAATTACCACCAGGCTACCGCTTAAATTACGACACGTAGATATTTACCATATTTCAAAGTTTCAATTTCAAACAATCCCACATAATTTAATTAGAAATCAGTCAGTCATTTTGATCTCTGTATGTTGAAGGGATCAGTCGAAATCGATTGAACGGATTGTTTCAAACTATTTATTCACATATTGCCTAAGCAAAGCTCCGAGTGTTTGGAGTGGTTATGGAAACCAAGTTGACAGATAAGGCTTGTCGTTTAGTCGATAGACAGATCAGCCAATAATAAGAACTTGAAGGCCTGTGTTGCCTCAATTTCAGTTATTCTCCTTCAACATATACTCGGTGCAATCTTTGACATCTAGTAATAAATAGTAAATCTACTGGTTATTCAGCTATGCAGATACCTTATCGTATTATTCCTTGGGCAAAGCTATTAGGAATGAGGACTAAATGCCTCTGTTTTCTCTGACTTGTGGATCGGTAGTTTACTCGTCATTCTGGGATTTGATTTCCGGCCGGTGCAATTCTAGCTTGTTAACCCGTATTACGGTGAGTCGCTCGTCAGGCAAGCAGCTCCACTCCTTGAACATAACATCAGTGCTACTGAGATTTAGAAATTTGAGGTCCTATGTTTCACTCAGGACTCAGAAAAATTTCCTAACACTTACCCATACACTGCAATATAAAAATACTGATGTATGACCTCGTTTGTGATTGGAGGATTTATTGTCCAATGGAAAATAAATTACTTATCCAGGTGCTCATATAAAAGTGTGGCACATATTGCTCATTGTTTTGGCATAATTATTGTACTAAGGAACTACGCGTACATACAGACAACTAGCAGTTAGGACAGAGAGTGAAACGTCTTTTCAGAGCTTAAGTTATCTGATGAGTAACCACGACACTACACTGCATAGGTAACAGACAAGCATAAGAGCGAGTTGCTTCTCTTGTTAAAAGTCGGCTTATATTAATACTGATGCAGAAGTCTGTTCTTAAACTGTTTGGAATAGTTTAAACAAAATTTGTGAGACTCATTGATGGTATTGTTTTAATATTCTAACAGGTTGATGTTTTTAGAACCAGGCAATGCTCACTACCGAAGTCAGAAAGACTGATCAGGAGGCTACCAGGATATTTGGATATCTAACATCAACCAAGGCTGTTCCCCAAATGCCCAGTCTTCCAGTTTTGTATTCATACTGCAAAGTTGTTCCAATTAAACCTGGTTTACATTAAAGACAAGACATAATTAAGTTATGTTAGATGTTTAGAGGCGTCGGTGGCACGGCGGTTAGGACGCTCGTCGACTGTGCATATGGTCCGGGGTTCGGTCCCCGACCACCGACGCACTCCTTTACCTCGCTAAGCCAGAAATAATCCTGGCAAAGAGGAAAGGTTGAGCATGAGGCTAGCAACCCCATCCTGTAAAAATTAACACTGT